AATCTGAGCATTCTGCAAAGAGAAACTCTTCCCTGTCTCTGAAGGATATTTCCACATTTATTTACTTAAGATATTTTTTTTTTAATCCCACCTTTATTACTTTAACGCAAGGCAGCAAATCTACACAATTCTCATCCCATATTTCCCACAACCACCTAAAATTGGGTTGGCCCCAAGTTATCCAACTGGCTTTCATGCCTAAAGTGGGACTAGAATTCAGAGTCTTCTGCTTCTAGCACATTAACCACTAGACCAAATTGGTCTAGCATACCATACATACCATCACATCATACATACGATCACGCCTTGTGAGGTAGTCCAGACAAGAAGTACATCCAGAAGTACTAGCACTGTCTTTATAATAAGGTTACATTAACAGAATCTTGTAAGGCAGAAAGGACATTTCTCCCCCCCCCCCCCACCTCATTTTACAGTCCAAGAAACTAGGGAGGGTTTCTTCTAAAGATGTTCCATTTCTTCTATATGCTCAGTTGCCTGTTATCAACCTGTCGCCTAGTCTTCCTCCTGTCTCCCAAGATTATTCCCATGTACCATTAAGATCATTTCAACTTATTATTATATATTCTTAGCCCTTGAGCTCACTGAACCCAATTGAGTTGCAGGGGGCATTGTTGCTATGGGCATATGGTATTGCCCTATTTTCCCCGTGCAGCTTCTGATACCCAACCTAGACATGGGGGGGGGGGCAGTATGTCTATATAATGAATATATTGCCCAGTTTTCTAGCTTGAGAATAAGTAATAGGGCAGTAGGAGAGGCTGGGGAGTGGGGCGGGAGGTTTCGAAGTATTTCTAGCAGAGACTTCCAGACTCTGTAACGGCTTTGTTCCCTAGGCCATCCATCTGGCAAACTTGCAAGATTAGTTTCTCTTGCCATGTACATGTATACGTGTGTGTGTGTGTTTAATCTTGTCATGTTTATGCAGTGTATATCAGAGGCGAAGGCCCTTTGAGAGCGGTATGCAATGAAATTTCATTTTAATGTATGCTGATTAGTATACATTCAAAGTGACAATAAAGTTATATTAAGTTCTAAGTCTAAATATATTTTACATAGTATATACTGTTCCTGGTGGCCCATTAGGGTATAAATAGCTGTTTATATACCGAGATCCTAGAATAGCAACACAGATTATAAAGAGTCTGGAGATTAAATTGTGTGATGAATGGTTGAAAGAACTGAGAATGTCTAGTAGTCTAAGCACTAAGGTTTGCATGAGAGCAATCTTCCAATACATGAGGAGCTGTCACAGAGAAAATGGGGTCAACCTATTCTCCAAAGCACTTGAGGGCAGGACAAGAGCTAATGGGTTGGAAACTCATCAAGGAGAGGTCCAACCTAGAACTAAGGAGAAATTTCCTGACAGTGAGGACAATTAACCAGTGAAACAGCTTGCCTGCAGGAAGTGTGGGTGCTCCATTACTGGAGGTTTTCAAAAAATAATTGGAGTTATTTGACTGGGATGGTATAAGGTCTCCTGTCTTGAGCAGGGGGGTTGACTAGAAGAACTCCAAGGTCCCTTCTAACCCCAGGATTCTATATTTTGTGTTCCATACCCATGATGCCAAACCTATGGCATGAGCCATTTGTGCAGGCACGCAAGCCCCAGGTAAACTTACCTCACTGCGCATACGTGTGCCTCCCAGCTGATTTTCGGCCTGTTTGGGACCTTTTTCGGCCTCCCAGAGGTTCGAGGGAAGCCTCTGCAGCCTTTGTAGGCCAAAAACCAGGCCTGTTTTGTCATTTCCTGTATTTCCGGAAATTCCGGAAGTGACAAAATGAGTCCATTTTTTGGCCTACAAAGGCTGCAGAAGCTTCCCTCGATCCTCTGGGAGGCCGAAAAAGACCTCAAATGGGCTGAAAATCAGCTGGGAGGCATAGTGCAGGTAAGGGGGCAGCAGGGGGGAATCGCGCATGCATGTGCAGGGAGCGGTGGGCCGCACACATCGCCTTCTGGGTGCTGGCACATGAGCACGTGCATACAAGTGCATGGACAATTTTTGGCACAGGAGCCCAAAAAGGTTAGCCACCACTGTTCTATACTATAGGAAATATATGTAGTATGTTTGTCTATACCAGTGATGGCTAACCTTTCCAGCACAGAATGCCCCAAGTGTGTATGCACCAAAATGCAATACACACGGATCCCCGTGCATGCACCACACATTTCCCATGCATGCATGCCCTGCACATGCATCCCGTGTATACACCCTGCTCCCCTGCGCATGGACATGCATCTCCCATGTATGCGCTCTGCCACCTCACATGCACCCCACCCCCTGCACATGTGCAGCAGAGACTTGAAGACCAGCTGGCTGGCTGGTCTGTACAAATACTGTAGACACATTTTCTTTCTGCTTACATCCTTTTGCACTGTACATTTTTGTTCAAAAGCAGTCCAGTCTGCGTTCTTGTTAAGAGAAAAAAAAATCGTATTTAATTGTGTATAATGGCTAACAGATAACTAGGGTCATATATGGGCAGGTGCAAAGATCAAGATATTTTTTTCAAACAAAAGCCAAACAAATTAGCCTTGAGCCTCAAATGATAATTTGACCCACGAACAATGCCTTGACTTCCCCATTTCTCACCACACCACATACAAAGAAAAAGCAAACACTATGGAAGTAATGAAAATATGTAGCAGCCTCTAATACTATTACTATTTAAAGCAGCAATAATTAAGACAGTCATATTATGTATGTGCAATTGTTCTTCAAAGTTAATTGGGTTGGCCATCCTATGTTTTAAAGTGAGTGCCAAGTAACGAATACCATTAAATATACAAGAGTGCCATCTTCTGGCTATTGTCAACTAATACTCAAAGTACCAATATAAATCCTGGAATCAGGGAGAATATCAGAACTGATAGCTTGCTGTTCCTAATCTCATTCACTCTTGTATAATTTATTCTCTGGGTCTGACAAACAGATATGATTGTGGCTTTTTCCTGTATTTTGTTACATGTTACAAATATACTCTATACTCTTTATGTGCATGACTGCATTCCCACTCACACTAGTAATACTATTGCTAAATTTGCAGATGATATAGCAGTGGTGGGACTTATCTCCAGGGGGGATGAGTCTGCCTACCAAGATGAGGTGGACTGGTTGCTTTCATGGTGTGGAGACAATAACTTGGTCCTCAACACCAATAAGACCAAGGAGCTTATAGTGGATTATAGAAGGAACAGATCAGACATCCAGCCCTTGCTTATCAATGGAGACCGAGTAGAGCAAATGGCCAGTTTTAAGTTTCTGGGTGTTACCATAAAAGAGGACCTGACCTGGGGTGCTCACATTGCAGCCCTGGTCAAAAGGGCCCAGCAGAGATTATACTACCCTGAGGCTTCTCAGAAAACAACAACGGAATGAGAAACTGCTGGTGACCTTCTACTGCTGCACCATAGAGAGCATTTTAACATACTGCACCTCTGTATGGTCTGCCAATTGCACAGTGGCAGATAGGGCAGCACTCCAGAGGGTTAACGTCATTGCCCAGAGGATCATGGGTTGCCATCTCCCCTCTTTGGAAGAGCTTTATAGCTCCCGCTGCCTTAAGAAAGTTCAAAACATTCTCAAAGATCCACCTCATCCTGGGAACCCTTTTTTTGAACTATTACCATCTGGCAGACAGTACAGAATAATAAAAACAAGGACAAATAGGCTGAAAAAACGTTTCTATCCCAGGGCAGTAGCTCTTTTGCATTCTGCTGTAGAGTGCAGTGTTAGTGTGGTGCTGGGGGTTTTCGGTTCAATGTGTGGAGGTGAAGGTGGTGTGTTTGTGTTTATTTTCATGTCATGATGTACACTGAAGATGGTGTTTGATTTTGTTGTATGAGGTGCAATGACAATAAAGTAAACTAAACAAGGTGGTATCACAACCTGCTGTTCCGAATTATTATTGAACAGGTACTCAAGTTACAACTACAACCGAGTCCAAAATTTCTGTTGCTAAGTGAAACAGTTGCTCTGTGTTGTTGTAACTTTGAGTGGTGACTGAATGAACTGTTGTAAATCGAAGGTTACCTGTACTACATTAATCTAAGAGAGTATGGGTAGACCTTCATTAACAACAATTTGTTTAGTGACTGTTTTTATTTACGTTATCAATCTACTGGCAACAGACAAAAAGAAGGAAAGGAGTTGTTGCTCTTTCAAACAATCTGAGTTGGATTTTAAACTGAGCCCAGAACAAAAACTTATCCAAAAAACCTTATAGCAAAAACATATAAAAATAAATTTGCATCGTACAGTTTGTATAGTTTTCAGCCAGTTAAGCTAAACTGCTCAGTGTGAGCAGTTTTCTTTTGGCATCCAGAAAACCCAGAATTTAGATAGAATAGAATAACAGAATTGGAAGGTCAACTAGTCCAACCCCCATTTCCCTTGGAGGGATTCAAAACTCAGCAGCTCAACCAAGGTTTGGTTAGAGAAAAAGTGCATACTGGAGCTAATCTGGAACTTTTAGTGATTTCACAACCTTTCCTTCTTTCTTTCTCTCTCCTCTCCCTTCCTGTCCAACTTTCCTTCCTTCCTTTTTCTTTCTTTCTTTTTCTCTCTCTTCTGCCTTTCTTTCCATATTTCCTTCCTTCCTTCCTTTCTCTCCTCTCCCTTCCTTTCCAACTTTCCTTCCTTCCTTTCCTTTCTTTTCTTTCTCCTCTCCTTTTCTTTCCATCTTTCCTTCCTTCCTCTTTCTCTCTCCTCTTTCTTTCCATCTTTCTTTTCTTCCCCCTTCCTTCCTTCGTAATTTTATTGTTTTCTTGGAAGAGGATATCCCCCACCCCCACCCCAATCTAACCCCTCCCACGAAGATTCCCTCGCGGTCTCCCATCCAAGCCACCCTTCCTTCACGCCACAAGCAAAGCGGGCAGGAAACGAGGAAAGAAAGCGAAAGTCTCGCGAGGCTCCACCCACTCCCCGCGGGCCCGAGTCGCGCCTTCCAAAACGTCACTTCCTCCCGCGCGGAATCGGAAGTTGACGCTCGGACGGCCCGAGGAGGTGTTTTCTTTGGGCGAGCCGGTGCTTTCGCGCAGAGGGAGGAGATTTCTCCTCCTCCTCCTCCTCCTCCTCCGGCCGGGAACCGCCGGTGAGCTAGCTGGCCCCGAGGCGACTTCTCCCACGGGGGGAAAAGCTGCCGTCCTTCGGTTTCTCCTTCCACCGGTGGGCCCCGTTGTCGTGGAAACCGGGCTAGGAGGGATGATGAGCAACTTCCTGGCTGCCCCCCCTTGGGTGGGGATAGCGGGGTGGGGGGGATCCCCCGATGTATTTGGGGTCTGTGATGCCCCCGTTGCAGTCGGCAGCAAGTGATAGGTGTGTGGACTTCAACTCCCAGAATTCCCCAGCCAGCCATTCAATTCCACCCATTCCCTCTTCTGGCTGAGGAATTCTGGGAGTTGAAGTCCGCCCACTTTCCACTTGCTCAGAATGGAGGCAAGCCGGATCACCTTTAAACGAAAGCACAATTTAAGGGGCCTTTTTTTTTTCAGGAGGCAGCTGGGCTTTCTTGTTTTTTTCTTTTTCTTTTTTTTGAAGACGTTTCACTTCTCATCCGAGAAGCTTCTTCAGCTCTGACAGGATGGTGGGGAATGGAAGGATTCATATTCCTTGCAGACAGCTGGTCATTTGCATCCTTTTCAAGGGTCTCTGAAGCACTTGGAAGTTTATCTGTGTCCTCAGGATCCTGTAGTCTGCAATTCCCCCCCCCCCCCCCCTGGAAATCCATTCCTATTCCCACACCATTCAAAGGATGTTCATCTCAAATTGCAAGCTAAAAGTCTCTAGCGATTTTCAGTCATCCAGGTCCTGGTTGTCCCAAAGGCGCTTTTTTTTCAAGAGGCAACTGGACTTTCTGGTTTTTTGTTTGAAGATGTTTTACTTCTCATCCAAGAAGCTTTTTCAGCTCTGACTGGATGGTAGAGAATAGAAGGATTTGCTAATTTTCTGGAAATCCGTTCATATTCCCACACCATTTGAAGGGTGAAATCCTTTCATTCTCCACCATCCAGTTAGAGCTGAAGAAGCCTCTTTGGACGAGAAGCAAAACATCTTCAAAGAAATACAAGAAAGTCTAGTTGCCTCCTGAAAGCTTCACTGCTCCATGGATCTGGAGTATATGACTCTTAAATGTAGACCCATATATCTTCCGCGGAAATTCAGTGTGGTTTTGATTACTGCAGTCGATGCCCCACCTGATGCCAATACTACCATAGCTTTGGGATTCTTGTATAACATTGTTAGTAATCAGAATAAGTATCCTGATGCTGTGCATATCATAGCAGGGGACTCTAATCAAGCTTATTTAAAAGAAGTGCTCCCTAAATTAGGACAAATAGACTGAAAAACAGCTTCTATCCCAGAACAGTAGCTCTTTTGAATTCTGCTGTATAGTGCAGTGTTGGTGTGGTGATGGGGGGGTGGGTTTCGGTTCAATGTGTGGAGGGTGAAGAATGTGTGTTTGTGTTTATTTTCATGGTCATGATGTGCACTGAAGATGATGTTTGATTTCGTTGTACGAGGTGCAATGACAATAAAATAAACTAAAAAGCACCTTTGGGACAACCATGACCTGGATGACTGGGAATCGCTACAGACTTGATGTGGGAGGCTTAGCTGATGGTGCTGGCTGCTATTTCTGGAATCCCATGCCAGACTGAGCTTTTCTTGGCTGGACTAGAAGACCTCCAAGGTCCCTTCCAGCTCTGTTCTATTCTTCTTGCCAATCTTGTGTGGAGCGAACATGATGATGGCAGTGGTACAATATCCTGTAAGACAGCAAAATGTCAAGTCCTCATTTATGCACTCTCAGTTGTAGTGTGTGGGGTAAAGCATGTTGCAGTGAGACATAGTTTAACATATTATATGGGCTCCTCAATCACTGGTTTGGGGCAAAGGTGGGTGGGCAACTGGTGGATGTCCCAAAGACAGGATTTTGGGGGAGCATGAATGCTGCTAAGCAGTTGGTGTTACATTGTGCAAGCTTTTTGGGGGAGTGGGCTTTGGGGGAGGTGTTTTTGTTTTAAACCAGGAGTCAGAAACCTGCGGCTCTGGAGCCGCATGTGGCTCTTTCATCCCTCTGCTGCAGCTCCCTGTTGCAGGTCGGCTCCACAATTGTTAGGGCTTTTGGTTAGGATAGATAGAGGAAAAAGGACACCACGCTAGGAGGAGACTATTGTGGGAGGACCGCCATAGAGTCTGGTCGGCTCCAGAATTGAAGGGGGGCTTCTGGTTAGGACCTTTGTGGCTTTTTGAGTGTTTAAGGTTGCCGGCCCCTGTTTTAAACTGTGATCAGCCTCTTTGAATTCTGAATTCTTTGAATTCTGCTTTTGGCTTTTAATAGTCCGAAATAGAAAGGAAAGCTGGTAACATAACCTGGTCTGGAAGTTGGTTCTTTTTTATAGCTGAAAGTAAACATACACTTCCATCCAGTCACCTGGGCTCTACCCCAAATTAAGTGGTTGCGGAGTCATAAAAAAGGAGTTTAAAGTGAGTTGATGGACAGTTTCTGCTTGAATTGATAAAACAAGTCCTAGTGATTATGGTATCTTTAAAACTGCCTATATCCCTGGCCAATTATGAGGTGCTAGGAGGGGTTAGCATTTGAAGGATCAGAGTTCCCTATCACTGGTTTAAATAATTGCTGTTGGTGCTACTTAGATTTATCTCATTTTTACTTTAAATAAAATAAACATGTCCATTGTTTTTGGGGTGTCTGTCCAGCTTATTTTTACAGGGGAAAGCTAAGTACATCTCTGCTTATTTGTATGTCATAGTAAAGCAGGTTTTCAAACAGCCTTCGTATCTTTAAAACCTCTCACTTCTATGTGGGCATTATTTTCATGCACATAGTAGTTATGCTAATGTTGGATTGTAAGGTATAATAAGTTAAAGACACCTAAGTTGACAAATGTTTTCCTGCGCTTTTTTTGTATAGATTTTAGTACAGTATTAGTATCTGTCAAGTCAGTTGCCCTAAATCTTGCTACTATGTTAATTTTTCTGTCTGAAACTTTGTTTGTTTAAATAATTGGTTTTACTAAGCCGCTTTGTTGTTTGTTTTCTACTGTTAAAGAGTGTGCTGTGTTTTGCTTTTGCTTTGTGACAAAGTTGCATAGATTTTAAAAATATTGATGCTTCTGAAAAACTGCTTTTGGAAATCATTAAAAAAAATTATTGATAATCCTTTTCTTCTGTTTTTTCTTTCAGAAATGATCCATTTTTGCCATGAATAGAGATCTAATAAGGTGGCTGGACCAATATCTGCCATGGCATCAGAACTTTGTAAAACGATATCAGAGGCAAAGCTAGAAAGGCACAAGAATTTATTCTTGAACTATCGAAATCTTCATCATTTTCCTTTAGAATTGCTGAAGGATGAAGGTCTGCAGTACTTGGAGAGATTATATATGAAAAGAAATTCCTTAACTACCTTGGTATGTCGTTTCATTGTATAATAAGCAAAAGATGTGTTGTTGTGTTGAATAGAATTTATGTTTGGAAGTATAAGCTTTTTCTTACATTGGGCAAAAAAAGGATCTATGTTAGCTAAATGACTTTATTCTCAGTCATCCAGGTCATGGTTATCCCAAAGGTCTTTTTCAAGAGGCAACTGGACTTTCTGGTTTTTCTTTGAAGACATTTTGCTTCTCATTCAAAGAAGCTTCTTGGATGAGAAGTGAAACATCTTCAAAGAAAAATCAAAAAGTCCAGTTGCCTCTTGAAAAAGCACCTTTGGGACAATCTATGTTAACCTTTTCAGATAGGCCAAGTCAAGAACCAAATGCTGTAAGGCATGGGTAAAGAGTAAAGAGAAATTGCCTTAAGCTGCATATAAAATATATATGTCAGATCCGTGTACCTATCATTTCTTCAGTGGAAGAAGAAAAGGGGGAGGGGAGGCTGATAAAGAAATCCTTTCTTGATGTAACCTGAATATATTTAATCTTATATCGAATTTGTATAAGCCACACATGATACAATGGAGGGAGAAAAGCCAGATGGCCAGAACTATCACCTCTGAGAAGCACAACCAGGAGATGAGAAGGTCATAAAAATTCCACAGTGAGATTGTATTTTGGGAATCTCTTGAATAGTTCGTTCTAACAAGAGGGGTGGGGAAGAATTAACATACTGGCTTTTGTTTCACTAAATACACATCGAGATAAGGGGAGGGGTTCTAAACTCCCTTATCTATCCCTGTATGCCTGAGAGGCCTCAGACGCTGCTTTGAACTCCTACAGGAATTGTCTCATCTCAATAAAGAATTCCTTTGTGATACGTTTGGATACGTTTTCAGAAGTTCATTCTAGTTGAGTGAATGGGAAAAGTTCTGTAGCCTGACACATATAATATATTTAATGTATATATAATCACATAATGTTAAAAAGTTTATGATCTTGGGCAGTGATATTACTAGCAGTGCAGGGCTAAATGCGGTCTCCAGGTTGGACACCACTACCTACACTACAGCATAAGATTACAAAAATTAAAGAATACAAGTGCAATGAAGCAAAGGGTCTCACTCTGCCTCGCCAAAAGCCTCAGGAAAAAGCAGAACTTCACTGCTGTTCTAAATACAGTCACTGCAGAGTGAGGTCCATCCAGATTTTGAGGCAAGCCTTGTTCTAGAGCAGGGGTGTCAAATTCAAGGCCCGGGGGCCAGATCCGACCTGCAGAGTGCTTAGATCTGGCCTGCGACACTTCTACCAGCAGAAACAGAGCTCGGAAGGGCTGTAGCCCTCCGGAGCTCCCTTTTCGCTGGCAGAGGGTTGCAGGAGGCTGTCGCAGCCAAAAACAGACCTTGGGAGCCAGTTTTCTCTGGCAGAGTGCTCGGGCCACTACAGGTGCCCCAACACAAGTGACGTCGAGCTGGCCGCTCCCACTCTGGCCACACACACACACACACACACCGAGGTCAAACACAACCCTGATGCGGCCCTCAATGAAATCAAGTTTGACACCCTTGTTCTAGAGGGTAGGCACTGTTATGGAGAAGGTGATCTTCCAGGGTCCAGTTAGATGAAATTATTTCATCAAAGGAATCCCCAACTCTGCAAGATTGGATCTGACAAGCGGGTGTTATGGGATGTAGGGGGTTTTCAACAAAGACTTTTGAGGATGGCATTCTAATTTGAGAATGGAAATAAAGGAGAGAAACGTTAGTCTTTTTTTTTTTTTAGCAGGTGCTATACTGCCTACCTTATCAAATCAGTGAAAACTTGGCCGTTCATTAGTATTCAGTTAGAAACTGCTGCCCAACTCCAGCGTGTTGAGCATTATTTCCCCAGTAGGTGGAAACCAAACTCAGAATTCCTGAATTTCTTAACTGCAAAAAAGAGATGTGGCTATGAACCGTTCTGCATATGTGCTTAGCTGAAAGAAGATTCTAAGGTGATTGCTTGCATTACGAATAGAAATAACTTGCCAGTAGTATCCTCCCCTTCCAAGTTATTTAACCATCTGTAGTTGCTGGCTATTGTCATATAGAACTAGACTGCACGCTTTTTATATTTCATAAGTTCCTTCAGAAACTCATTTTCCGAGAAGTACCTCCCCACCTCCTGTAAACAGTACAGCACTGAATAAAAAGTTGCAACATATGCTTTAAACTCTACTCTTTCTTGAATCCTTATCTCATAAATTCTTCAAAATTAGTGGTTATTAACCGGTGGTCCGCAGATCCCTGAGGGGGATCGCAATGTTCTCATGGGGTCTATGAAGACTTGAAAAAAATGTTATGATTTAAATCTTGAGTTACATCTTGTGGGGTCATGATCCATGGCCACAGAAGGTATTTAAAGGAGGTACATGGTGAATAAAAGTCTGAGAACCACTGGACTAGATAGTCAGTTTCTGAGTAGACCTATTTAGAATATTGTGACGTGGCTGCTGTAAGAATGGCTGTTAGTTTAAACATTACTTTAGCAATCTTTCAAGTTCAGCTGGTCTTCCAGCTTATATGGCGTATACATTAAGATAAGTGGTTTATTGTGTATTGTGGCAAAGTTAGATTATTTTACATACACTAATAAAGATATAGCGGTATACACTAAAAAGTTTATTTCAAAACAAATTCATCCTGAGCTTGTGTTTTTGGTCAAGTAATTAAAATACCATGATTGAAGTAATCAATATAATTTAATTATGTTGTTTCGTAGTGTAAGGATAGCTTGAAAACACAGCTGATATTACTAACCTTATCACTAGTAATTGAATTTGACTCTTAAGATTTTGGACTACATTAATTAATATTTTGTTTTTTTTTAATGTGAACCAACTCCACTCTTCTGGAATTCCCAGTTTTACATTGGAAGATTATTTGCTTTCTGCTACTAACACTCCTTGCTGACTTGACACACTCCTACTCAGGGAAAGTCTGTGGTTGCTGTTTAGACAAGGATAAAAGCAATAATGGCCAAATCAGGTAGAGGAACAGGTATAGTAGTTTGGTGTACAGCTTTAGGATTCTGGTACCCAAAGCTTCAACCTGGTCATACCTTGAAAGAAGAAACAAAGTGTTGTTGAGATGAAACTATAACTTTATCTATATTCTTTTTTTTAGCCAGAAAACCTTGCCCAAAAACTTCCAAATCTTGTGGAACTGTAAGTATATTATTTTTGTTGTTGATAGTAATTATGCTGAGATATATAAAAGTGGCTTGACTTATTGGAAATATCTTACGTGGATAGAAACAGTATATTAGAGCTCTTTTTTCCTGATCAAAATTAGACCTGATCTAATTTTGTTCTTATACTACCATCCTCAGGCTATAGAGTAATGTCTGTGAACCTATAGATATTATTCTGTGAAAAATTGCTAGAAAATATCATCATGCTCAGTTCTTGCTGAGTGGCTACATTTTATCTACAGTAGCTTGGTTAATATACTTTCTAACAATAATACAGTTTGTAACAATCTAATTCTTATCTACTATAAGCGTTTAGAGCGGCATTGTACTTTGTAATCTTAAAACATAGCATTCTAATACCTTTAATAACTATTTCATCATTAGTTCCTTTGATCAAGAATGTGAGATTGTATGCTTTGGTTAGGAATGCAAGAACCTTGTATCTTGTATAACTCCATTTTTTTCATCTGACAGTTAATATATTTGCAGAATCCAATCTGGGTTGGTCACCGGGACTAGAAGCTTTGTCTTCAAACTTTGGGACTTGTGCTGGAGCCCATCTTCAGGGAATTTCCCTCTAGCCTAACCAAGCCAGATTGGATCCAGTAACATTATCCAGGGACACGTATATTCGCCTTCATTCGTGTTAATATATTTCATCAGCAATCCTGTGGCAAATGTTGTCTCGACACACATATACAAGCAAGAGAAAGGCCTCATTATAGTGCCAAAACTTTTCTGGAGAATTTAAGGATGCTTCATTTTTCCAAAGTGCCGCTTTGAAAAGGTTTGCATTGTTCTCACAACCCCTGGAATAATTTTCAGCTACAGTATCATGGCAACAGTTCCTGTAAGCATTAGTGGCTTAAAATAATTAGAGGAGCACATCTGTAACCAGGTCATATTTTATAGCCTCTCCGTGGTCAAAGGATGTGGGCTAAATTATTAATGTATATTATATAGGGACACTGTTCTATGCAGGCTGATCCCATATCACTAAGAAATATGGTCTAAACCTCCACTTAAATCATCATCATCTTAGCAACTCACGGCAAGCTGTCTCTTATTTATAATTTGAGTGTCAGCAGTGCAGTTATTAATTTTTGAAGGTCATTGCAGTCTGCAGCTTCTTTAAGGAATAATCTTGCCTCATCTTATCTAGTGGGAATTCTCTTTTAATGAACTTTAAGTACAGCTTTCATGAGAGTTGCATGTTTTTGGCACCATGCAGTTTCAAACATAATCTGATTAAGCCACGAGAATCTTCTTAATATTTGAAAGAGGTTATTTCTAGGAGCTCTGAAAAGCCAGCAAGCTTGTTGAGCACATACTAACGCTTTCTTGTCCAAATTATATTATGCTCTTTAATCCTTCCCCCTCCCCCCACCTAACCCCATCTAAGTTACTCTGTCGTTAGAAGGTTGGGATTTCAATTTGGGTATATTTTAATCTTGTTAATGTTTTATCAGATTATAAAACATTAAGTTGAGGTGCAGTGGAGCAAACTGCTGCTAATAAGATAAAAAAAATTCTTCTAGCTGCAACTCTGTGTTGCGGTGGACTCAAAAGTTTTCAACTTGTCACTTCAATCTTCTTTAGGAGATTTGATGAGAAATTGTTTCCCCAGTTATATTTTAACCAACCCTTAAAAAGCATGGCATTGGAACCCTCTCCAGCATGGAAACACTAATACAGCAGTCCATATTTGAGTGACGATTCTACTTTTTAAAATGCTGCATAACAAACTTGTCAACTTTGCATGCATAATGAATAGATCATCTCAGCTTCAAACAATGCGGCCATAATGGTGCTTGTGTGTCTTCGTTACTCCCGGCATTGAAATGAATGCCATAAGAAAATCCAGAGCCTGGAATTAGCGGAGCCCTATTAAAATTGTTTGTGTGGGATGGTCCTTAAACAATTCTAGCTAATATTGCATGAAGGAAGACTGTTTCTTGAACATAAATACAAGTCAGGATCCAAAGCACCTCATAAATAGTTCCAGGCACCAGAGATACTTTTATGCTAATAGGGGGGAAATGGAAGCAAGAAGGCTTTTTTTAAAAAAAAACAGATTGTGTGATGAAATGGAACACACCCCGGCCTTTGGTGGTACTTAAAGTAGTTCTTAATCTGAATGTGCTTGGGCTTGTCAGTAAACAAGGTAAAATTATTATTTTTAAATGTAAATTATTATTACTTTAAATAGTATCATTCTCAATTTTTGTTTGATAAAAATTGCCACCTGCAATTTGTTTCATGTTGCTATTGAAACTGTGTGAAGGTTGAAATCAGCACAAAAAACATTGGAAGAATTTTGACAAAAAAAAATTATGTTTCTGATTTCCTTGGTGGGGGGAGGTAAATGATACTTTTAAAATACAGGCAATAATAATACTTTCTCCATGATTTCCGAAAGAGAATTCCAGTAGTTTTTCCCTCTGCAGGAAGCGCTCTAAAGCAATTTCAACCTGTCTAATTCACAAGAAAGAGGTCTTAGCTCAGATAGGAAATATGTTGACCTTGGCCTGGTTTCAGTCAGAGAGTAAGCCACAATTATGTGTACTTAAGATTATCTCATTTTGACCGTGCAATAGCTATTTGACATGACTGACTAATTGTAACCTTCCTTTATTGACAACAAGAGAATAAAAGAAACAAGTAGCATGCATGTTTCCGCTGTAGTACAATCTCATTTTAAAGTGGCGTTCAACTTGAATACAGTGATACATTCAAAACTATAAGTCAAAGCAAATAACAAGCCTAAGAGAAATAGGTGAAATTTACTTATTTAATTTTACATCTACCACTTTCTCTTTTTCTCCTGTTTTGTGTCTGTTCTCAACACGCATAGGAAATCATATTTGGTAGATGTTGGGTTCAAAGTATCTGGCTGATAATTATTTATTTCATAAGCATTTGTTTGTTTATATCCGGTCTTTATTATTTTTTACAAATACTAGAACATTTAACATAGAATACTAGGGCTGGAAGGGACATTGTTCTCAATGTCGGGACATTTCTGCTTAGTTCCAAGTTGGATCTCCCTGATAATCTTTCATCCATTGCTTCTTGTCCTGCCCTCAGGTGCTTTGGAGAGTAGGTCAACCTTCTCTTCTTTGTGATATCCCCTCAAGTAATGAAAAACTATTACCATGTCACCCATAGTTCTTAGTTTCAATAAGCTAGACTTATCTAGTTCCCTCAGTCATTCATTATCTACCGTGTTTCTCATATAATAAGGCTGGGTCTTTTTTTTTTTCCAGCCCCGAAAAAATGGCTAGGCCGTCTTTTCGGGGGTGACTTAATTTCCCCCCCCCCTGCATCTTTGGGCGGGCGGCGACGGCTTGGATGTTGACCTCGGCGTTGGTGGGGCACTTCGTATCGGGGTCAACGCAGGCAGCACCATATCCAGGTGTGCAACAAAAGTACTTCCTAACGGCCATTCCCCCCCCATTTTGCATGTTTTAATATAGGCCTTAATTTGGGGGGAGGGGCTTAATTTCATTTCATGCCTATAAAACATGCTGGGACTTCCTATTGGGGGAGGCCGTATTGTTGGAGAAACAGGGTAGTTTAGATCAGTGATCCCCAACCTTTTTTATGCCGCGGCCCGGTACCGGCATCAGCTGGGTGCCGCGGCCCGGTACTGGCATCAGCTGGGCGCCACCATCTTTTTTTGATGAAAAAGTGCTTCCGGTGAGCTTTCTACCCGGAAAAGCTCACCGGAAGCACTTTTTCATCAAAAAAAGATGGCGGCGCCCAGCAAACCAGCGGCCCGGTAGGACTTGTTCCACGGACCGGTACCAGTCCACGGACCAGTGGTTGGGGACCCCTGGTTTAGATGCACAATCGTTTGATTGGTCTGGTGCCTGATGATCATAGATCCTCTCTAGGTCAATTCAGCAATCTTCTCAAGATCTTTTCTCAGTGCCTAGAAACTGTGAGGTTAGGGATGAGGGACAGCAGACTTCAGCTCAAACTGGCAAGATGGAGTCATGGGTGTGAAGTTCTGAGGGTTTTTGGTTGTTGTATGCCACCTAGGATCATTATGTGAGATAAACAGCTACTTAAATTCTTTAAATAAATAAAGCTTTATTTGCTCACTCCTGAAAATAACCATATATTCTGTTCTTTCCCCAGATATCTGCATTCAAATAATATTGTTATTGTACCTGAAGGTGGGTGCCCTAATAATATCTGGATTTATTTTTTTTTGCTCCATTGACTATGTTAGAGTACTGGGGCAGCCAAAATGCCATTAAGTACTATTCAGCTTCAACTCGACATATGACTTTTAATCTTATTCATCATTTATAAAGCATTTATTCTTAATTTATCTATTCAACGGTCGTACACCATGCAACTGCCTTTTATAAATATAGTCCCTAGGAGATTTTTAAAAAATATTCCCTGTTTAAAGAAGGAAATATGCCAGTAATAGCAAGGAAACATTTTGGCTGAGCTGCAGTAGTTTTGATTTTCTAGCATGGCTTCTACAGGGATCTTCTTCTTTACTTTCTCTTTTATTGCTTTCGGTGTGTAGGGATTCTACAGAGTGCAGGACGATTTATGCAAATAGATTAAATAATTGCAAAAACCCACTGAGAATTATAACTGGAGAATTCTTACATTCTGGTCATAAATGCAACCTCTTGTACACTAATGAAAATCCAAATGACTATAGTTGGTTTTTTTTTAAAAAATGTTTAATCGCCCCAAAGGTGCTTTTTCAAAAAGCAACTAGACTTTTTGGTTTTTCTTTGAGGATGTTTCACTTCTCCAGTCAGAGCTGAAGAAGCTTCTTGGATGAGAAGCGAAACATCTTCAAAGAAAAACCAAAAAGCCCAGTTCCCTCTTGAAAAAGCACCTTTGGGACAACTGTGACCTGGTGGACTGAGAAACTCCATAGACATTTGTTTATATGATCAATTTATATGATTGCCCATCTTACAAATCTGATTCTCTTTAAAACCATACAACCAATAAAAAACATAACCAAAGACAAGGACAGACCACGTACTATGACTATGGCAATGTTTCTCAGACTTCGTAATATTAAAATATATGGACTTAAAGTCCCAGAATTCCCTAGCCAGCCCTCCCACACATCTTAAAGTTGCAAGGTAGAGAAATACTGTATTATGGCAACTGAGAATACCAGCAACCACCATACCTGGGCTCACCTAACTTCCTAATGTCCAGTGATACGATATTCTAGACTCCAGAGTAGTAGTCAACCTGGTCCCTACCACCCACTAGTGGGCATTCCAGCTTTCATGGTGGGTGGTAGGGGTTTTGTCCCCTACTTTATGAATCACCATTACTGTGGAACCGGTGGGCGGCTAGAGAAAACTTTACTACTAACAGAGATACAAAAGTGGACGGTAGGTATAAAAAGGTTGACTACCCCTGCTCTAGAGGGAATATAATTTTGTTCCCTCAGCATTTTTTGCATATAACTGCTGAAATAAACTTTGCATGAAAGGCTGTGCAAATAAATGTGCTAATCTACAGCAAGATATCTTGTGTTTTAGAAATAAGCTATTATTAACAGATGTCTCATTCTAAGTTAAATATATTACCTTTTTTTTCTTAAAGCAATTGGTTCTTTGGTTAAACTGCAGTTTCTGGACTTGAGTGACAATGCTCTTGAAATTGTATGCCCAGAGATTGGGCGTTTGCGGTCTCTACGCCACCTTCGATTAGCTAATAATCAGCTAAAATATTTGCCAGCAGGTAAGGCACGCTCCTGTATACAATTTTTTACCCATTATATAATACTTGAATTGTGTTAAATAATATTAGTCAACTGTTCTTAGTTTACTCTTTCCATTAATTGTATTCTTTTTTTTTTTTTTTTGTAAATTTTATTTGAGTTTTCACAAAGAGAAAAAAAATACAAATAAAACATCTTTTTTGAAAGCAGCATAATCCCGGGTTACATTTCTTCGTACAGACACAAATTCAGGTTCATGCTCATTTTTATATTCTGTTCCATATCTTATTACTATTTTACATTTTCTGCATAGCTTCTCCCCTCTTTTAATTTTCTCAATTTTATTTTAATTATCTCATCTCAATTCAAATCATTGTATTTATATTTTTTGTCTGTCCTGTTTCAATTATCTATTATCTTTTCTCATTAAACAAAATTTCTCCTGTAGTTACTGATTGGAGTATGACGCCTTTATATCTTTTCCCTAAAGTTGTTCCCTAAACATTCAATATAATACATAACTTCCATTCAGATTCTGCTTGGTACATTCTTAAAATACACACTGTATTCTTAAAAAAAGAAAAAAATTATAAATGTATATAATTAAAACAACATTCCATTGCAGTTCAATTCTATCATTAATATTAATATTCATTAAAGTCTTAACATCTTTAACATTACTTTTCAATTAAATATCATACTTCTATGGGAACAATTATAAGTTTTCCATAGTTAATTCCCCCCCCTTCACTTATATTTTATAAACCATTAACTAATTAAAATGTTCCCGTTCCTTCCTAATTCAGTTAGAGAAACAGGACCTATTTAGAGATAATGGGTGAAAATCTAACTGAAAAGGGGATTCTGTAAACGTACATAAGATTGTATTGTTATATTAGTAATAGAAATAACTTTAGAAAATTGGAAACAACGTATGATTAAAATGAGGGATAAAATAGTTAGTGTAGTGAAATGTTTGTGAATAAAATAAGTGAAATAAAATAAATGAAATAATTGTATTCATCATGCTGACTTAAAATTAAATGCTTAGTTACAGTATTAAAATGCATTAAGTTTGCTGGAGGCAGATTACTTATCAGAAGAATTACTGAAACCCTTATTACCTTCTACCTCATTTCCCATGTATCAGATAATCTGATATATTGTGCCACAAGTACTATATTTTAAGGTATTAATTTGGGATGGTATAATTTAATCACCACACATTAATGTTGTTTAGCTGGAAGTACAATAAAAGCAACACAGTCTAATTATGATTACTTGGAATCATTCTTAGTCATTTTTATTTCAGAATACAGTGCAACCTTAAGCACAAAGTTTTTGTTTTTTTTTGTAATGTAGCAAGAACTTTATAGTGAATGCTGAATCCTAATACACTACTTCTACTAACATTTTCCAAATATAGAAATTCAAATGGACAGTAACTGTAATTGAAAATGTCAAATGGTGGGCATTTCATAAAGTCAGAAACTTCTTCTGACTGAAAATTGTCCAACATGTTTTCAAAATATTTAATTCCAAAGTAGGTACCTGGATATAATTAAGTTTCTTACAATTCATGCTGGATTCCTGCAGTTTATATGAAGATTTTTTTTTCAAGCAAAACTTAACTTTTTTTTAAGGTAGTAAAGGGTTTTTATATGAGAGCTTTCAAAAAGGTTATATTACAGAATGACTATTTGTCTGTTATGCTTTACTTGGGATTTTTATACCTTTCGGTATAAAAGATGCTTGCTTATTTTATCCCCCATTTATAAAAAATATGGGACATTAAACCTTTTCTTCCTATGTGTTAAAATCTTTAGGTATGTGATATTTCTGACTCTTTAAAAAATATCACTGGTTTTAACCATTAAAATATCTGTCAATGTTGAATTGCTGATTTAAAATCAGATTGCTTAAGGTCCCCTAACTTTTTCTTCCCCCAAAATGTTTATGTATTCATCCTCTGCTGCTTGTAATAATTCATCTCAGTTAGGAAATTGGCCTCTAAATCTGCTTCCCTGAGTCTTCTGAAGAGTCCTTTCTGGTATTGCTTTGCCAGCACTTAACTTCCCTAGCAGGTTTCATGGTTGCAAATCTCCACTTATAAATCCCTTTTAAGGAAATGCTGTGATTCTCATAATTGTGAGTAAATAACCACACATTCCGATCTAGCAAAGAGCTGGATGCAGCTTATCACTGCAGTTTTGTCACCATTGCCTTGAGCAAGAATGCGATTTCATGGGGGGGAGGGAGTATATTTTTAGAATTTAAATTGCATCCATTTTAAATACCTTCCCAGGTATTCCCAAACATGGTACTACCAGAGTACACAATTGCTGCAGGAGCTGTACTGTTTGCCAGAGGATTTCTAAGAACAATTCAAGATGAACCCTTCCATGGTTCAGGGCCAGAATATCTAAGAGATTGCCTTTCACAAATAAGTCTCTACTTACCACGTGTGCATAGAAAAGGTAGTGAGATAGAACCTCCAAAGCATTTTGCTGAGGTAGCACCTCTCCAATGGAACAAGTTCCCTTTGAGAAGAGCAGGGCCCCTACTTTAAGGACCTTTGGCTTGACTGAAATTAATAACCACATCAATGTGATTATTAATATAGTTGTATTATTTATTGTTGGGTATATTATTGGGTGCGGTGGCTTGGTGGTTAAAGATGCTCAGCTTGTCAGCTGGAAAGCTGACAGCCCGGATTTGAGAGCCAAGCACCATGCAGCAGGGTGAGCTCCCATTCCTACCCCAGCACCTACGAGTAGATAAATAGGTACCACTTTGATGGGAAGATAGCAGCATTCCATGCAACTTTGGTGAACAGACATGCTGGCCACCTGACCACGGAAATGTCTTCAGGCAACGTTGCTTCCTTCGGCCAAGAAATTGAGATGAGCACTGTACCCTGGAGTCGGACACGACTGGTCAGGGAAACCTTGACCTTTATATTATCATCTGAAAAGGTAGATAAATCGTGCAATTATATAAAGAGAGATGATTAAAGGGCTCTTACAAGAGAAGCTGTTTTATTAGGAGAGCAGTCGTATATTGATTTTGATCTCTCCCACCACATTTTGGCATGCCTTCAACATGAATGTTCTCTCAGATAAATGTAATGACAGCCACTGTAGTATTGCTGGTATCATTCTGTCAAAGCTCAGATTCTAATCAGTACAATTTTAAAACATGTAAAAGTGACAGCTGATTATGTTATAGCCTTCTGTTGATGTTTTAAGCTCCATTGTTACAGAAGTTGGGGCCCCATCAAGAGTTTTATTTTTCTACAAGAAATTTTTTTTTTTAATAAAAATGTCTGGAACTAATTTTTGGCATTTTGATCTATTGAACACATAGCAGATAATTTTTTAAACACCTGACAAGATTTGGAGATTCTGGATTATTATTATTATTTTGGATTTGACATTTGCGACTTATAAAGTGTATAAGTTGTAGCATCGTGTAATATTTAATTAAAACAAGCTAAGTTTACTCAGCAAGCATTTGGCATTAATTATTGATTTTGTAATTGAAAAGCTTCATGTTTTGCCAGCTTTCATGGTAAATGAATTAAACAGCTTTGGCAATGACTACCACAATAAATTTCTGCTCAAAATATCATCTATATTGCAGTCTAAAGTTAGCTAAGAATATTAGGTCATGGCCCCAGTGTCTGATCCTGCAAAGAACCATGTTGATGTAATAGTTGGTTTTCCATGTTACCTTCTGGATATTCTGAATTTGGTAAATGAAGGAACTGTAATCAGTTGTTTTCCACATTCCAAGTTTAATTTTGTCAGACAAAAATCAACCAAGGACAATCTGTTCTCGCATGTCCTAAGTCATAGTTGGCATCCTAGGTGCTTAAATATGTTGTATATAGAATCATTTTTACCACCCCATGCTTAAACATAGATTTCTCCTAGTGTATTAGGCTACCTTCTTTTTTTACTGTGAAAGCAGTCTATTAACAATGTATAAATTTATTGATAATTCATTTAAACAAATTGCTAAATATATACAGGAAATGCCTTGCAGGAGTTAGTGAGGAAAATTAATAAAGTTTTCCAGACTAACTTGGTTTGGTCTCATTTTAGTATCTTTATGATCATTCAGCGGGACATTAAGATATTTTTCTTTCATGGCCCATTAAATATTTAATGGGCCATGAAAAAAAAATATCTTAATATTTTTCACATTAAATATTAAAGTGTCTTTTTTCTGATCATTTTGGAACTCAAGTTTAGCAACGAACCATAAATAAAAGTTCTAATCCTTATACGGCAGATTTTTTTTTTTTATAATAATGCATATCCAAAAGTGATAAAAGTTCACAGATCTATCCCAGCAAGTTACTTTTATCAGTTCTCAATTTTATTTGTGTGAAAAAAATTCCATGTGGATTTGCATTAACAATCAATTTGCAGCTAAAATTAATATTGTCCAGAATCTCAAGATTTGCTTCATATGCAGAAACGGATAGTAAGCAGCCTCATTGGGAATCTTTTCTGGAGTTGTCACAGATTATATGAATACAGAATTACTTCAGTTTCAAAAGATCTTTGCTAGGCCACATGGAAATAAAACTGTTAAATTAATATTGAAATGGTAATAGAATATTTTTGGTTTGAGGAGTTTACAAAAAAAAAGGTAAAGGAGTTTTCTGAGGATTTTACTCTGCCAGTCATTGCCGATTTTAGGGGTTGCTGCTCAATCTCTGTTCCAAGACCATTAAAGACAACCCTGTCCGAAGACATTTCCACGATTATGTGATGCATGGAACGCTGTTACTTTCCCACCAAAGTGATACCTATTTATCTACTCTCATTTGCATGCTTTCGAACTGCTAGGTTGGCAGGAGCTAGAGCAAGGATGGGAACTCACCCCATCATGTGGCACTCGGGGTCTTGAACCCAAGCTGCCAGCTTTCCAGCCAAAAAGCCCAGCATTTTAACTACTGATCCACCACACTGTCCCTTTTTACAACTAAAGGGGAGGGGGAAAGAAGGGC